TTCTTCCTCCTCTTCCTCTTCCTTCTCTCTTCTTCCCCCCGCCTTCCCCCTCTTCTTCCTCCTCTTCCTCCTTCCCCTCCTCTTCCTCTTCCTTCCCCCTCCTTCCCCTCCTCCTCCTCTTTCTCCTCCCCTCCACTTCCTCTTCCTGCTTCTCCTCCCCCTCCCTTCCTCCCCCTCCTTCTCCCCCTCTCCCCTTCCTCCTCCTCTTTAGCCCTTCTTCTGTTCCTCTCCAGCCTCTTCCACCCTGGCCTGCTGCTTCCTTCTGAGAGAGCTGTTGCTTCTTTTGCCTCTGCAAAGGACAGCAACACAATTGTGGGTGGGGTGGGAGGGAGCAGCTGAGTATAGTGCCAGGAGCCTTGGCTGGGGATAAGGACTGTCCAGCTGGGGAAAAGGGACTGTCCAGCCTCCCTGCCCTGGGCTCTTGATGGACTCAGGCACTCTGACATCTGTTTGCCAGATGCTGAGTCCTAATGGCGGGCCACCGTCCTGCCAGTCGGGGGGCGGGGGAGGGCCATTTGGGCAGGGCAGCTGAAGCCAAGCTGATCAGGGGCCACCGGGAGAAAAGTTGGCTGTCTGGGAGGCCTCCACGGCTCAGAACGGACTTCAGGAAGTGGCATCCACGCACTTCCGGCGGCGGTCCATTCTGAGCCTTGTGAAAAAGGGCAAAGGCATCAGCCGACTCCTCGCCGAAGTCCACAACAAAAAATTAGCTACCGGTGCGAACTGGCTGAATCCCACCACTGGCTGCCCCTCTTCGACTATCACAGCGGTTCTCAACCTGTGGGTCGGGACCCCATTTGGGGTCGATCGACCATTTCACGGGGGTCGCCAAGCAAGGCTGTCCGCCATTTTTTTTGTCCGCCATTTTTTTTGTCTGCCATTTTTCCCCCTTTTCCAGCGGGTGCCTTACCTACCTCTCTTGGGCTGGGCCAGCTGGTGGTCGGCCTGCTCCGTCTCTGCCGCTTGCCAGCTACACCTTGGCCGGCGCAGGGGGCGGAACCACGCATGCGCGGCGCTCCCGGGCAAGGAAAGTCCTCGACTTACGACCGGTTGGGTAGTCCTCGACTTACGACCGGTTTAGTCCTCGACTTACGACCGGTTTAGTCCTCGACTTACAACCGGTTGGGGTCGCGGCATTAAAAAGGTTGAGAACCACTGGACTATCAGGAAGGTCCCCTGACGAAGCCTGTCCCGACTCGTCTCTCCACAGTCAAACCGGAAGTGAAGTATATTGGCAACATGCACGGAAACGAAGTGGTGGGGCGCGAGATGTTGATCTACCTTGCCCAGCATCTGTGCTCTGAGTATCTCCTGGGCAACGCCAGGATCCAGACCCTGGTCAACCACACTCGGATCCACCTCCTGCCTTCCATGAACCCAGACGGATACGAACTGGCCGCCGAAGAGGTAAGCGCCCCAATTGCTAAGCCCGGTCGGTCACTGTGAGAGGCAGTCCCAGTGGACAATCTAGCCGTGTATTATGCGACACGATCATCAAAATCCCTTTGTGGCAGAATGAATGTTTCAGGGCATCCATGCTTTCCCGCTGGCTACCAGGCTACCCTCTGAATTCTCGCTCGTTCCTTCTGCTAACAGGGCGCCGGCTATAACGGGTGGAAGTTGCCCTCCGTTTGTCGAGTCTTGGAGCTAGAGTTGTCCTTAAAGGGTCTAAACTGGAGACTTCGAATGTCTGACCGTTTCTAGGCTCCCCGAGCCTACCTAGTGGAGGGATAAGGTGTTAGAATGACCGACCCGTTCCACCCTTTCACGTTCGTGTGTGTCCCATCTCAGATAGTTTTATGTCTTATGTCTTATTGAGAGTTGGAAGGGACCTTGCAGGTCATCTAGTCCAACCCCCTGCTCAGGCAGGAAACCCCCTTACCATTTCAGACAAAGGATTATCCAGTCTGTTTTTAAAAACTTCCAGTGTTGGAGCATTCACAGCTTCTGGAGGCAGGTTGTTCCACTGCTTAATTGTTCTGTCAGTCCACTATTCCAAAGTCCAACACTGGATCCCTAATGTAAGAAACAGCGGTGGTTGTTCCAGTACAACTTTTTAACTAGCAAGTCTTAAAATGACCCATTTTTAATTTCACGAACAGTCGCAACTCGTAATGGTGCTCAGGTTTCCTTTTAAAGCCTTCTAGAGCCCGCCTCCCTACATTTTATATCAATGGGCATTTCTGAATAGCAATAGCACTTAGACTTATATACCGCTTCACAGTGCTTTACAGCTCTCTCTGAGCGGTTTACAGAGTCAGCCTCTTGCGCGCCCCCAACAATCTGGGTCCTCATTTTACCGACCTCGGAAAGATGGAAGCTTGAGTCAACCTTGAGCCGGTCAGGATCGAACTCCTGGCAGTGGGCAGAGTTAGCCTGCAAGATTACATTCTAACCACTGCACCATCATGACTTGAGAGATAGATAGATAGATAGATAGATAGATAGATAGATAGATAGATAGATAGATAGATAGATAGATAGATAGATAGTGATAGATAGTGATAGACAGATATTGTAAATAGACACAGAGAGAGAGATTATAGATAGATAGAGAGATAGAAAGAGAGAGAGATAGAGAGATAGAGAGATAGATGATAGTTAGCAATAGCACTTAGACCAGGCATGTCAAACTGCCGGCCCACAGGCCGGATGCGTCACGCTGAAACTGCACCCACCCCATTGCCGGCAATGGGGAAAAAGTCGCGATACATTGCACGACGTCATATGATGTCACGAGTTTGACATGCCTGACTTAGACTTATATACTGCTTCACAATGCTTTACAGCCCTCTTTAAGCAGTTTACAGAGTCAGCCTATTGCCCCCCCCAACAATCTGGGTCCTCATTTTACCAACTTGGAAGGATGGAAACTTGAGTCAACCTTGAGCCAGTCAGGATTGAACTCCTGGCAGTGGGCAGAGTTAGCCTGCAGCACCGCATTCTAACCACTGCACCATCATGGCTCGATAGATAGATAGATAGATAGATAGAGAGAGAGAGAGAGAGAGAGAGAGAGAGAGCGAGAGAGAGAGAGAGAGAGAGAGAGTGATAGACAGATATTGTAGATAGACAGAAGAGAGATAGACAGATAGATGATAGATAGATGATAGTTAGCAATAGCCCTTAGACTTATATACCGCTTCACAGTGCTTTACAGCCCTTTCCAAGTGGTTTACAGAGTCAACCTATGGCCCCCAACAATCTGGGTCCTCATTTTACCAACTTCGGAAGGATGGAAGTCTGAGTCGACCTTCGGTCAGGATCGAACTGGTAGCTGTAGAATGCAGAGTCAGCCTGCAATACCGCATTCTAACCCCTGCGCCACCAGGGCTCTTTGAAGCATCCTTAACCATCCTTTCTTCCTGCGATCCTTTTGAACCCGATTTTCAGGTGGCCCCAGAGACCAAAGCAGTGATGAAATGGATGAAGTCCGTGCCATTTGTGCTGTCTGCCAGTCTGCATGGGGGCGATTTAGTCGTTTCTTATCCTTACGATTACTCCGTCCACCCTACGGAAGACAAGATGTTTTCTCCAACCCCGGATGAGAAGGTAACGCCACGCGAATGAGGTTTTAAAATACTCGACTAAAATATAAAGATAATAGGAACGAGGAAAAGAAAGGATGCATATTTTTCATTTATTTTTTGACAAAGTGGAGCCCTCTCTATCATTTCTTTTCCTCCCCCTGTTTAAAAAAGTTGGGCTTAACTCGCCATTCCCAAACGATGCCGTTTCACGAGGATGGAATCCAACAAACGGCAAGCAAATATTCGTTGATGTACTTCTGATTAAATTAATTGGCCACCCGACTCCCGGGGACAGTTTATAGAGTTTTAGAAAATCAAAATGAGAAAACACACAGGAAACACACACCAAACCCCCCCCCCCAAAAAGGAACAATATCAAGTGGAACAAAAGAGGAAGAAGAAGAAGGGAGGGGGGGCGGTGGTTTTTGCCAACAGCCTGGTCAAAGAGCCATATCTTTAGTAGGGAGGTGGGGGCTATTCTGGCTGACCACTCCATGGCCCAATTCATCTCCTGCTCCCCAGTCTCTGGGGTTGTGAACAGACCACAACATTTACCCACAAAGAAAGGAGAAGAATGGGATGCTCTACATAGGGCTGCCCTTGAAAAACTCCTGTTGGTGCAAAATGCAACAGCCCACATGGTTTTGTGCAATGCCCATGTGTCACCTCTCCTGCAGGGAGCTGCCTGGCTTGCCAATTTGCTTCCAGGTGCAATTCAAGGTGCTGGGTGTCACCTTGAAAGCCCTTCATGTCTTGGGACCAGGTTACCTGAGGGACCGTCTCTCGCCGGTCACGTCCACCTGACCCACTAGAGTGGGAAGGCAAGGAATATTGGGGGTCCCATCTGCTAAGGAGGTCCATCTGGAGAAGAAGGGTCTTCTCCGTGGTGGCTCCCTACCTGTTATTTTGAAGGACCATCATCTCCCAGTTACATCCACCTGACCCACTAGAGCAGGGAGTCAGAGGGTGTTAAGGGTCCCCCCTCTTAAGGAGGTCCATCTGGCAGGACCCAGAAGAAGGGCCTTCTCTGTGGTGGCTCCCACCCTCTGGAACATCACCCCTGTTGTTGAGGCCATTGGGAGGTTTATTGAACAGCCCTCTCTCAACAGAGGGAGGGGATACGACACCATCTACCTCCAGCCTACCACACAGTCCTTTCAGCAGTTCCAAGAAGGCTCCACACCCATTTGCACCACTCAGGTGACATTGAGGACACAGATAAACCTACAAGTGGCCTCAACGACTCTTTAAAAAGTTGCAAATGACCAGCTGTCTGCAAGGAGTATAAATCCTTCCGTTCCCCACCATCCAGTCAAAGCTGAAGAAGCTTCGTGGATGAGAAGCGAAACGTCTTCAAAGAAAAACAAGAAAGTCCAGTTGCCTCCTGAAAAAAAAAAGCACCTTTGGGATCTGAAGTGAGAGTTTTTCTTTCCTGCAGAAGCCAGAGCTTTGCCTGGGGCTGTAGGTCAGCTGAGGGTCCCATGGCTTCGGGAGACTTCTCAAAGGCAGCCCGGCACTGTGAACTGAATGCACGGAACATACCGGAGTTTGATCTACAAAGCAAATTTAATTAATCTCATTTTAGATGTTCAAGCTCCTTTCTAAAACCTACGCAGACGCGCATCCCGGCATCTCGGACAAATCAGAAATGCGTTGCGGTGGAAATTTCGTGAAACGGGGAGGCATCATCAATGGAGCTGAGTGGTACAGCTTTACCGGAGGTAAAACTTTTATATGTTTATATATATATATTGTTCTGCAAACAGGTTGATGTCTCTTTTCTAAGTGGCGGTAGGAGGGAAACGCCTGGAGAAGGGGGGAAGCGCACGTCATCGCTCCGTAAGTGAGCGAGAGAACCTACCACTTAAAAACGGGGGCTACCTCGGTGGAGCCATAGCCATCGAAAAACCCATATGTCTTGCTGGCCGCGTTAATGCAGGCATGCATAATTTACAAGCCCCCCCCCCCGAACCAAAAGACAGTCTGGCTGCTGCATACGAGAGCCTGCGACCCACCAACTCCATTTCCGACGTCTTGGGCAGACAGCAAAACCAGCCACACGATGATCGCAAAGGAGGACTAATCAAGTGCAGCAGGAAACTTTCTGATGACCTCAGAAGGGAGGGAAAAAAAACCCCAAATGTTTTGTAGATCAGGGGTCCCCAACCCCCGGTCTGTGAACCGGTACCAGGCCAACAACCGGTCCGCACAAAATAAGCAAAAGCCCCATCCACGGGATGCAGGCAGCACACAAAACCACGCACTCTCCGGTCCGTGGAAAAACCTCCCTCCACGGAAGCGGTCCCTGTTGCCCCAAAGGTTGGGCGGTCCTCTGTTGTAGACGCTTGCCTAAAAAAAGAGACCTTCAACTGGAGGGTCCCCTGCTTGGCTGAGCCTGGCCCACGGCTGGTGCCGTTGTCTGCGTGTTTGCAGCGATCCAGCTGATTCCTGACCTGGCTCTGAAGGCGTTGGGTGTGCGTGTCTTATTTGTGGCATCTGTTCTAGATAATCCTTACTTACAACCAGGGCTTTTTTTTCTCATAGAACGCCCAGAACGGAGTTCCGGCACCTTTTTGGGATGGAACCTTGTAGGGTAGGCAAGGCGGGTTGTATGACGTGTGTGAGTTCCTGCACCTTTTTTTTGGTTTTGTTTTACAAAAAATGCACTGCTTACAACGATACATTTAGTGACCGTTCAAAGCTCTGAAAAAAGGGACTTAGGACCGTTTTTTACACTAACGTGCATTGCCGCATCCCTGCGGTCACGTGATCCGAATTCAGACGCTTGGCCACTGACTCATATTTATGACGGATTGCAGCATCACGTGATTTTGGTCTCCGTTGTGCTCATACGCCGAGGACCACTTGTATGCCCATTTGGAACTGGGTGTGATTTAAGCCAGCCTTAGCTTATTTTTGAATCGTTCTTGAATACCAGTTGGCGGTGTAAATTTATTCCCCCATGGTGTGTGCCCGACACTCTTTTTAAAACCTAAATGCAGGTAGTCAGAAGATCTTCTACACAACGTGCGTTGTTGATGTACAATTTGTAACTCCGCCATTCAGATGCACAATCTCAGCTGCTGTGATGTGGTAGATTGTGTAGCATTATCCATCCACAGCACGCCCTGAAGATCAAGGCATATCCACTGTGTATGCTACTAATGTTATGCCGCTTACCATTCAGAATTGTTTCCTAATTTTATTGTTCCCGTTTTAAAAATAGTTTGGATAAAGACACGCTTAAAAGGTATCGATTGATCAGCCTTTTAGTGTTCTTCTTTTTCCAGGAATGGCAGATTTTAATTATCTCCACACAAACTGTTTTGAAATTACCTTGGAGCTTGGATGCGAGAAGTTCCCTTTGGCTGATGAGCTGTATAAACTGTGGCAAGAGAACAAGGAGGCACTTTTGAAATTCATGGAAATGGTACTCCCTTTTTTCCCCTCGACTTCTCTCTTCTTTCTGTCACAGACTTCTCCACCAAAACAAGAGATTGTTCACATTTACAGTCAGTGGGAACACAACAGAACAGAACAGAATAGAATACGTAAAGAATAGGATACGTAAAGAATAGGATGGGACAGGACAGAATAGAATAGAATGTGGAAAGTAATAGAATAGAATAGAATAGAATAGAATAGAATAGAATAGAATAGAATAGAATAGAATAGAATATGGAAAATAGAATAGAATAGAATAGAATAGAATAGAATAGAATATGGAACGTAGAATAGAATAAAATAGAATATGGAAAGTAGAATAGAATATGAATATGAATAGAACAGAACAGAACAGAACAGAATAGAACAGAACAGAACAGAACAGAACAGAACAGAACAGAACAGAACAGAATAGAATAGAATAGAATAGAATAGAATAGAATAGAATATGGAAAGTAGAATATGAATATGAATATGAATAGAATAGAATAGAATAGAATAGAATAGAATAGAATAGAATAGAATAGAATAGAATAGAATAGAATAGAATATGGGTGTGGAGCCTTCTTGGAACTGTGTTGTATTTAAAAGACAAAGGCCGTTCTTTTGAAGAGAGCAAAGTCCACATTTTGGACAGAGAGGACCGCTGGTTTGAAAGAGGGGTCAAAGAGGCCATCTAGGTCAAAACTGAACAGCCCTCCGTCAACAGAAGGGGAGGGATAGGACATCATCTATCTCCAGTCTACCACAGAGTCCTTTCAGCAGTTCCAAGAAGGTTCCACACCCATTTGCACCACTCAGGTGACCCTGTGGACACAGACAAAGCTCCAGGTGGCCTCAGTGACTCTCTAAAAGGATGCAACTGACCAGCTGTCTGCAAGGAGTATAAATCCTTCCATTCCCCACCCTCCAGGCAGAGCTGAAGAAGCTTCTGGGATGAGAAGTGAAAGGTCTTCAAAGAAAAGCAAGAAAGTCCAGTTGAAAAAGCACCATTGAGGACACAGACAAAGCTCCAAGTGGCCTCAACGACTCTCTAAAAGCATGCGAATGACCGGCTGTCTGCAAGGAGTATAAATCCTTCCATTTCCCCACCAATTCAGTCAGAGCTGAAGAAGCTTCTGGGATGAGAAGCGAAACGTCTTCAAAGAAAAACCAGAAAGTCCAGTTGCCTCTTGAAAAAACACCTTTGGGGTAGACTTCGTATGATTGTCCGCATAATAGTTTCCTTGTTTTGCTGCCCTAAAAATAGAAGCATTTGTAGGCACTTGGGAAGGCCATCCATCCAACTTCCTGGATCTCAGTCTGTTTTCTCTGGTGGACATTTTCACCTGTCTTACCTAATAAGTTCTGTCTGGAGCAGTGTTTCTCAAGCTTGACCATTTTAAGGCATGTGGACTTCAACTCCCAGAATTCCACAGCCAGCAATGCTGGCTGTGGAATTCTGGGAGTTGAAGCCCACATGCCTTAAAATGGTCAAGCTTGAGAAACACTGGTCTGGAGGTTCTCCTATGAGAGCTTCTGGAGTGACCAGCCCAGCTGAGTTTTCTAAAAAGGACTCAGGTGACCAGAGCAGGAACAGTCGCCAATTCCACCAAAGGGACAAGAGACCATCTTTCTTAAATCCCCAGCACCGTGGTCTAGTTCTCCCAGAACGTGGCTTTTCAGATACGGTAGTTGAAAAGCTTTCCGCAGCCGCAAATCCAACTCTTGCTTTTACCCTTAAATAAAATTGGATTCCGTTCGGTTTTCAGCTTGTCTTCAGCTAATCTGTTCCGTAAATCCAAATGGGAGTGGATTACGTCTCCTTGAAGCCTCGGAGAGGGGGAGAAATCCTATATTAGCCGTGACTGTGCCCATCCACTCCTATTGTATATAGTCCCCCCCAGCCCTGACCTCACCTCCCCAGGGAGCAATTAGACTTAAAAGCAACAAGATTAAGCAAAAGGATCAGGGGCTCATTTCACACCCCCTTGTTCAAATGGCTTGCCTCTTTTTTTCTTTTTTTTTTCATTGCCCTAGAGACAGGGAGATTTTGTGCACGGCGATACATCTTCAGCTGGTAAACTTTGCAGGCAATGCCAATCTCGCCCAAAAGACTAGGGGCCTGGCAAGGCCGAGACAGAATTTCCCCTGCACTCATAATGTCCCCTGCATAGGGAGGGTACGTCATTCCTCAAAGTCGGTGTTACAGGAGGGGGAAGAGTATTAACTTCCAGCAGATCCCTCAAATGAAGAGCCTTGGGCCCATCCTGCCTCCCACCCCTTCCTAATCTTTCCCTAAAATGCTTCTGGTCCTGTTCAGTGGGTCCTGATTGGGTTATTTTTTTAAAAAAAGTTGTGGGAGAGGGCAGGTGGAAGCGTGTTATTCTGCGCCCGTTGACAGGCACTGGGACCCATTGGGATTTTGCTAAACCAAGCTGAAGGAGCTCTCCATCCTTCGTCCCTCACTAGACGTGGTTATTCCATTTCACAACTGGTTTGCAACGATCGGACGGGCTGGCGCTACTTCAAGATGAGTTGGCACCAGCTAAATCAATAAGCAGTCAATTGGTACAATGGCCAACAGCTTAACCCCTAATTGTCCCAAAGGTGCTTTCTCAGGAGGCAACTGGACTTTCTTGTTTTTCTTTGAAGACGTTTCACTTCTCATCCAAGAAGCTTCTTCAGCTCTGACTGGATGGTGGGGAATGGAAGGATTTATACTCCTTGCAGACAGCTGGTCATTTGCATCCTTTTAGAAGGTCGTTGAGGCCACTTGGAGGTTTTAACTGTGTCCTCAGGGTCCCCTGAGTGGCGCAAATGGTTGTGGAGCCTTCTTGGGACTGCTGAAAGGAGGGTGTTGTCAGCACTTCCAAGAAGGCTCCACACCCACCCACTCAGGGGACCCTGAGGTCACAGACAAACCTCCAAGTGGCCTCAACGACGGTTGCAGGATGTTTTTCTGCCCTGGGTGCCTTCATTGTTGGAGACAGGCGCAGGCTGTTGGGGACGAGTCTGCGTTTTCTCCATCTCAAAACTGAAGCGCAAATGGTTCCTGGGGTCTGCAATGTTTTCTGGAAATCCGTTCATATCCCTGCACCCTTCGAAAGGGATTCATCCCAAAGTGCATCGCTAAATGTCTATGGAGGTTCTCCATCATCCAAGTCAGGGTTGTCCCAAGGGTGCTTTTTTTGAGGAGGCAACTGGACTTTCTTGTTTTTTCTTTGAAGATGTTTCGCCTCTCATCCCAGAAGCTTCTTCAGCTCTGATTAGATGGTGGGGAATGGAAGAAGCTGTCAGAGCTTCATAAAAGGGCCAAGTTTGAAGACCCCTGATCTATATTATATCAAAAAAAATTTCCTACTGAAAACAGCAAGGGAACATATCACAGCCATTTCTTAAGGCTTTAGCATTCACGAACTAGAATTCTGTCATTAAATCGGTTGGGCAGCAGAGGGAAACCCACACAACCTCTCAGAGTAGCAAGTGGACGCCGGGTGTGAAGAGAAATGAGGAAGGAACATAAAAGAATCACGACTTAATCACCTTCTTCTGATTCTGGGCAGGTTCATCGTGGCATAAAAGGAATTGTATCCGACAAATTTGGAAACCCAATCAAGAACGCCCGGATTTCGGTCAAAGGCCTCCGCCACGATATTCTTACAGGTAACAAATTTGGAGAAGCAAACTTTTGGGTTTAGATTTCCACCCCCCTCTGGAATGTTATGCAACCTTTTGCCTGGAAAACAAACTATTGTGTTGATTGATTCACCTATTTTTGCATCCCAGCTTGTTCTAGTTACAAAATCTAAAAACAATAAATGTTAGCATTGCAAAAGGGGGGGGGGGGAAACCAACCGCAGAATTAAAAGGCATTCCAGAAATATCTTATATAATAATAATAATAATAATAATAATAGTAGTAGTAGTAGTAGTAGTAGTAGTAGTAGTAATAATAATAATAATAATAATAATAATAATAATAATAATAATAAAGAAGTTGGAAGGGACCTTGGAAGTCATCCAGTCCAACCCCCTGCTCAGGCAGGAAACCCTATATCATTTCAGACAAATGGCTGTCTAGTCTCTTCTTAAAAACTTCCAGTGTTGGAGCATTCACCGCTTCTGGAGGCAGGCTGTTCCACCGATTAATTGTTCTCACTGTCAGGAAGTTTCTCCTTAGTTCTAGGTTGCTTCTTTCTTTGGTTAGTTTCCATCCATTGCTTCTTGTCCTGCCTTCAGGCGCCTTGGAGAATAGCTTGACTCCCTCTTATATTAGTATCTCCAATAATCCAATAATGCACACCTCTCTTGATGAGCACATTTGAAAACTTCAAGCAGCTTGATTTCATGATTTAAGCCCCCTGTCCGGAGCCAACACAGAGTTCTCTCTACTTCTTTAATATCTCATTACACAGTGTTGCTCCCTCGTTTGTTGATCAGCNTCAACGGGAGGCAAACAGCTCAGAACCTCGATCTCAACAGGAATTTCCCAGATTTGACCTCTGAAGCTTACAGACTGGCAAAGATCCGAGGGGCTCGGATGGATCACCTCCCTATTCCACAATCTTACTGGCTGGGCAAGGTGGGAAAGTGCAAGCACACACAGGGTAGAGTCTATCAAAATACAGAATACAGAATAACCGAGTTGGAAGGGACCCTTGGAGATCATCTAGTCCAACCCCCTGCTCAGGCAGGAAACCCCCTTACCATTTCAGACAAAGGATTATCCAGTCTGTTTTTAAAAACTTCCAGTGTTGGAGCATTCACAGCTTCTGGAGGCAGGTGGTTCCACTGCTTAATTGTTCTGTCAGTCCACTATTCCAAAGTCCAACACTGGATCCCTAATGTAAGAAACAGCGGTGGTTGTTCCAGTACAACTTTTTAACTAGCAAGTCTTAAAATGACCCATTTTTAATTTCCCGGACAGTCGCAACTCGTACTGGTGCTCAGGTTTCCTTTTAAAGCCTTCTAGAGCCCGCCTCCCTACATTTTATATCAATGGTCATTTCTGAATAGCAATAGCACTTAGACTTATATACCGCTTCACAGTGCTTTACAGCTCTCTCTGAGCGGTTTACAGAGTCAGCCTCTTGCGCGCGCCCCTCCCCAACAATCTGGGTCCTCATTTTACCGACCTCGGAAGGATGGAAGCTTGAGTCAACCTTGAGCCGGTCAGGATCGAACTCCTGGCAGTGGGCAGAGTTAGCCTGCAAGATTACATTCTAACCACTGCACCATCATGACTTGAGATATAGATAGATAGATAGATAGATAGATAGATAGATAGATAGATAGATAGATAGATAGATAGATAGATAGATAGATAGATAGAGATAGATAGTGATAGACAGATATTGTAAATAGACACAGAGAGAGAGATTATAGATAGATAGAGAGATAGAGAGAGAGAGAGATAGAGAGAGAGATAGAGAGATAGATGATAGTTAGCAATAGCACTTAGACCAGGCATGTCAAACTGCCGGCCCACAGGCCGGATGCGTCACGCTGAAACTGCACCCACCCCATTGCCGGCAATGGGGAAAAAGTCGCGATACGTTGCAGGACGTCATATGATGTCACGAGTTTGACATGCCTGACTTAGATTTATATACTGCTTCACAATGCTTTACAGCCCTCTTTAAGCAGTTTACAGAGTCAGCCTATTGCCCCCCCCAACAATCTGGGTCCTCATTTTACCAACTTGGAAGGATGGAAACTTGAGTCAACCTTGAGCCAGTCAGGATTGAACTCCTGGCAGTGGGCAGAGTTAGCCTGCAGCACCGCATTCTAACCACTGCACCATCATGGCTCGATAGATAGATAGATAGATAGATAGATAGATAGATAGATAGATAGATAGAGAGAGAGAGAGAGAGAGAGAGAGAGAGAGAGAGAGAGTGATAGACAGATATTGTAGATAGACAGAAGAGAGATAGACAGATAGATGATAGATAGATGATAGTTAGCAATAGCCCTTAGACTTATATACCGCTTCACAGTGCTTTACAGCCCTTTCCAAGTGGTTTACAGAGTCAAACTATGGCCCCCAACAATCTGGGTCCTCATTTTACCGACTGCGGAAGGTTGGGAGTCTGAGTCGACCTTGGACCGGTCAGGATCGAACCGCTAGCTGTAGAATGCAGAGTCAGCCTGTAATACCGCATTCTAACCCCTGCACCACCAGGGCTCTTTGAAGCATCCTTAACCATCCTTTCTTCCTGTGATCCTTTTGAACCCGATTTTCAGGTGGCCCCAGAGACCAAAGCAGTGATGAAATGGATGAAGTCCGTGCCGTTTGTGCTGTCCGCCAGTCTGCATGGGGGCGATTTAGTCGTTTCTTATCCTTACGATTACTCCGTCCACCCTACGGAAGACAAGATGTTTTCTCCAACCCCGGATGAGAAGGTAACGCCACGCGAATGAGGTCTTAAAATACTCGACTAAAATATAAAGATAATAGGAACGAGGAAAAGAAAGGATGCGTATTTTTCATTTATTTTTTGACAAAGTGGAGCCCTCTCTATCATTTCTTTTCCTCCCCCTGTTTAAAAAAGTTAGGTTTAACTCGCCATTCCCAAACGATGCCGTTTCACGAGGATGTAATCAAACAAACGGCAAGCAAATATTCGTTGATGTACTTCTGATTAAATTAATTGGCCACCCGACTCCCGGGGACAGTTTATAGAGTTTTAGAAAATCAAAATGAGAAAACACACAGGAAACACACACCAAACCCGCCCCCCAAGAAGGAACAATATCAAGTGGAACAAAAGAGAAAGAAGAAGAAGGGAGGGGGGGCGGTGGTTTTTGCCAACAGCCTGGTCAAAGAGCCATATCTTTACTAGGGAGGTGGGGGCTATTCTGGCTGACCACTCCATGGCCCAATTCATCTCCTGCTCCCCAGTCTCTGGGGTTGTGAACAGACCACAACATTTACCCACAAAGAAAGGAGAAAAATGGGATGCTCTACATAGGACTGCCCTTGAAAAGCTCCTGTTGGTGCAAAATGCAACAGCCCACATGGTTTTGTGCAATGCTCAGTGTGCCCATGTGTCACCTCTCCTGCGGGGAGCTGCCTGGCTTGCCAATTTGCTTCCAGGGTGGGTGTCACCTTGAAAGACCTTCATGTCTTGGGACCAGGTTATCTGAGGGACCGTCTCTCGCTGGTCACGTCCACCTGACCCACTAGAGCGGGGAGGCAAGGAATGTTGGGGGTCCCATCTGCTAAGGAGGTCCATCTGGAGAAGAAGGGTCTTCTCCATGTTGGCTCCCTCCCTGTTATTTTGAAGGATCATCATCTCCCAGTTATATCCATCTGACCCACTAGAGCAGGGAGTCAGAGGATGTTATGGGTCCCCCACATTAAGGAGGTCCAGCTGGCAGGACCCAGAAGAAGGGCCTTCTCTGTGGTGGCTCCCACCCTCTGGAACATCACCCCTGTTGTTGAGGCCATTGGGATGTTTATTGAACAGCCCTCTCTCAACAGAGGGGGGGGATACGACACCATCTACCTCCAGTCTACCACACAGTCCTTTCAGCAGTTCCAAGAAGGCTCCACACCCATTTGCACCACTCAGGTGACATTGAGGACACAGATAAACCTCCAAGTGGCCTCAATGACCCTCTAAAAGAAGGCAAATGACAAGCTCTCTGCAAGGAGTATAAATCCTTCCATTCCCCACCCTCCAGTCAGAGCTGAAGAAGCTTCTTGGACGAGAAGCGAAACGTCTTCCAAGAAAAACAAGAAAGTCCCGTTGCCTCCTGAAAAAAAGCGCCTTTGGGATCTGAAGTGAGAGTTTTTCTTTCCTACAGAAGGCAGAGCTTTGCCTGGGGCTGTAGGTCAGCTGAGGGTCCCGTGGCTTCGGGAGACTTCTCGAAGGCAGCCCGGCACTGTGAACTGAATGCACGGAACATACCGGAGTTTGATCTACAAAGCAAATTTAATTAATCTCATTTTAGATGTTCAAGCTCCTTTCTAAAACCTACGCAGACGCGCATCCCGGCATCTCGGACAAATCAGAAATGCGTTGCGGTGGAAATTTCGTGAAACGGGGAGGCATCATCAACGGAGCTGAGTGGTACAGCTTTACCGGAGGTAAAACTTTTATATACACATACATGTCTGGTTGAAAAGAACTAAAAAGTTCGAAATGGCTATTCCAGTTCTCCCTTAATTCTTTGTTAGCAATCCAAATTTTGAAAAACACATATATTGTCGCAGTTGCGGCTGCTAAGGCTGCGGATGGCTCTAGTTTGAGCTGATACAGGCAAAAGATTCCTTTCTCCCATATTTGGGCCGACAGGGTGCACCAAACTCAAGATATATATATATATATATATATATATATATATATATATATATATATATATATATATATATATATATATATATATATATATATATATATATATATATGTTCCAAAATTTGAATTGCTAACAAAGAATTAAGGGAGAACTGGGATAGCTATTTCAAACCTTATTTGGTTTTCATCAGCCAGACATACCCTTGCTGAGATTCAAACCTGGGCTGTCTGCATGTTAAGCAGAGATGTTAGCCACTAGGCCACAGGCTCTTTCTCACTTTGTTAGCTACAAGAGACAAAGGAAGAGGATGAATGCTTTTTTTCTTTTAGAGCACCCTGTCGGCCCAAATATGGGAAAGAGAAGTCTTTTGCCTGTATCAGCTCAACCTAGAGCCATCCACAGGCAGCAGTCGCTTAACTGCGACATCATATGTGTTCCAAAATTTGAATTGCTAACAAAGAATTAAGGGAGAACTGGGATAGCTATTTCAAACCTTAT